CATAAAAATATTTGTATTTGAATCATAAATATTTTAAGGTTCTGCTGAGCATTAAAGTGCCTGTGACGTCAAATTTTTGTAATAAATATGAATGTATTTTTGAAAAGATGACATATTGTAAAAGAGTTCATCCAGCTGAGATAAACACTTGTTGAGATATTTGCATGTGAAGTAACAGGAAGTGATGTCAAAGGGGAATATCTGAATGTGAACAGTGTTGTTAAAATGGCTAACAACACAGATTATAGAGAAGAATCTGATGTTTCTTTAATTGTTTTAATCACTATACTAGAAAGATTAGAGTCATAGTTCAAATAAAATAGTTTAAATTCTCAAAGAGTCCCCCTTTCATGTCACTTCCTGTTTCACTTTCAAAAATATGCCAGTTATTTGATATAACGAGTAAAATTGTGTATTATGCCAAGTTCCTTAAATATAAACATATTGTCTTTGACTTTGTGTTTCGTGGATATGCATGTCACAGGTACTTTAAGTTTTTAGCTAGCAGATCTTTGGAATCATTTGGTCCTAAAATAGCTTTTATATAATATAAAAAAAAAACCAACAACAACTTAAGAACTTGTCTATGCAAAKACTACTGGAAACAAAGAGCTCAAAAATCTGATTTAAAACTGGTTCTTTGCTTAGTTGTCTGCTGTGAGTTGACATAAAACTGGTTCATCTCCTGAAATTTGTAATATCTGAAACATTAGACCAGAGTTGAAAAAAACTAAATGAAAATGGTCAGGAACTGGACTGAAAATGAAAATACTTAAATACACTGCCAAAGTCTAAAGAAAAACTTAGAAAGCCCTTCAGGAAAAAAAAAATACTTGTTTTTACTGAGATGCATCAGGACATTTACTTGTTTTTATTTTGTTTTAATTTCCTGTTGCTTTAATAAATGATTGTTTATTTTACCTCAGCCAATGTTCCTGTGTTTCAAACATCTGTTTAGTTGGTTTCTGTTCATCATGCTGACTGAGTATTAGGTGCTTAGTATTCCTGTCTGTGTGTTTAGTTTTAGTAATGAATCTTCTTATATTTGCAGACAAAGATCGAGTATGACCGCCTGATTGCCACGATTGGTAAGAAACCCCCTCCAGAGCCTGGCATGAAGGTGCGTTGGCGGGGTGGAGGCATCTCTTTAGCCCAGCGCAGGGACTTCATCCAGCAGCTGCAGAGTGTGACAGGAGAGGCGCCCTCTATACCCATGGAGCTCAACCCTAAAGAGTTTCAAGGCTTTCACCTGGCTCTGCTCAACAAAGTAAGAATGGATGCAGTTTGTAGCAGCAGTTTGTTGAAGTTGCTTTAATTCTCGTCTCAGTTATTGTGCTGTATAGATTAGCAACCAGACATGGTTTACTTTGAAACCATTTGTGTGGAAGTCATGAATAATCTTCAGGAAAACTCACATTCCTTATGTTTTCAGAGCTTGAAGCCTCAGAGCTTCAGGAATCCCTACGACATCCCTCGCAGCCACCTCCTGGATCAGCTGAGCCGAATGAGGAGGAACCTACTGAACACCAGCGTCTGCGCTCTGCGAGGGCAGGACTCTGGTACTTCAGCTGTGCAGACATGTTGTGTTACAGCGATGAATCAGTGGAGAAATGTTGTCACCCTGATAGTGTTTGATGTGTTGTGTCCAGACCAGCTCCACAGTGTGCCAATCGCTCAGATGGGAAACTACCAGGACTTCCTGAAAGCTGCTCCCCAGCCCCTTCGAGACGCAGACCCTGAACAGCCCAAACGCCTGCACACGTTCGGAAACCCCTTCAAACTGGACAAGAAGGTGGGTCCAGTGACTCACACCGCCCTGACCTGCTGTCAGTGGAGGAAGTGATGTTTGAAGCTCCTGATGTTTCTCACAGGGCATGATGATTGACGAGGCGGACGAGTTCGTGACCGGACCTCAGAACAAGGGCAAGAGACCCACAGACAACTGCAACAACATGCCCGGCGGGGGTCCCAAGAGACGCCGCTGCATGTCCCCTCTGCTGCGTCTGGGCAGGGCCTACACCCCACCAGTGACTCCTCCCACCAGCCCCCGACACCCATCAGGTAAAAGTCTGAATCAAGACGTTGACACCAGTATGCAGTGGTGGGCACCTGTCCACTCCAGCGCAAATCCACTAATTGTGGACCTGAATATTTCGTTTGCGCTTTAGCGGTCTTTCTATTTTTTATAATTCATAAGCGGATTTGCACTTTCTAAAATTAAAATGCAGTACCACTAATGACTAATTATCTACCAGTCATCATTATGTTGAACAGCAGAAGGTACGACTGTCAATGAATCACAACACATGTGTTCTATCCAACAGCACCCCTCCCAGATAAACACACTTATTGTGAAGGTATACATCCTGCTGACTGTTGCTTTGGGTCAGGGTTCTGATTTCCCACAATGCTTTGTGTCTGCTTACGTAGCAGGAAGGCAATAGCAAAAACAGTAAACGTTTGTAATCCATACTAAAATTTTGTATGTATTGATTTATTTTACTTTACAGTCGGAGCTCCTTTTTTAAAAAAATAAAGTTTAAACTCTGGAGCTCAATACTTGATGTAATTGGTCGAAGCAACGGTGTTAGAGACTCAGAAATGATTTAAAGATGTTATGCTGATGAAGACTGACATCTAGTGGTCAACTGGCTCAACTACATGGAAAACTTTAAAATCCGAGCTCTTATTTTGAAGGGAAGATAGTTTCCTGTACTCCGTGCTTTTGTTTCCCGTCACAAATCAAATCTGTCATGTACCCAGAATGCATCTCTTCAGTTTTCCAATAAACAGTTTTAAAATTACTTTATTGATGCTTCTTTAATGAAAAATCTACAACAAACAAAAGAAAAAGACAAAGAAGCAGCCGAACTAGCAATCCTCAACAACTTTAATTTTTACACCAGGAGATAAAGGTCTGTTTCAGGAAATCACATCCCCAGCAATCAGCGGTTGTAAGATTAAGCTGTAAAAGGGTTCWTACACCATTAGTTGGCAGTGTTGTACATYTATTGTACATGAATTGTTACCAGCTAGTAAGTGTCAAATTGAACTTGCGCTTTAAAATTAGCTTCCACTATTTTTTCTATGGCATAAGTGTTTTTGAAGTTGCGGTCCTAAATATTTTCTTAATRGCTTTAGAAATTGCYMAGCTAATTTTTGGATTAGTGCTGCCCACCACTGCCAGTATGATCAAGACAAATAATTCTTCTCTTCCACATCTTGCTTTAAAGATATCGATTTAAGTGATGGCGCTCCAGATCCGGACCTGATCATTAACCACCTGAACCAGAACCACTACAGCAACTCCCACTCTGAGGTGGACCCCTCGGGACCCGCCAACCTCCAGGAGAACCACACCCCTGCAGAAGCTCAGATCCTCCATCACCAGGAGGAGGAGGAGGAGAACGGGCGGCTGCAGGCAGGAGAGCTGCTGCCYGGCAGCCAGGGAGAGGCAGATGTGGTGCTGATGGAGGACCAGCACCCCCGCTACCTGACGCCCTCAGCCCTGAAGAAGCACATTCACAGCGAGACCACAAAGGTCAACAACGAGCTGCGGGTGCTCATCACCAAGGAGATCAGAAAACCTGGCAGACGTGAGTATTCCTGCATCTCTGAATATCTTCAACTCAACAGCTGACTCGTTTGTTTTTGTCGTGGCAAGTTTTATCAAGAATGCAGAAACACGTTGGAATAAATGCACAAAGTCTGCGTGTATGGTCGTCAAATGATTTAATCTTGAGCAACAAACACACAGAAGTCAATCAGGAAGTCTGTCGGGTTTGTGGCTCAAGATTAAATCATTTGACGACCATACACACAGACTTTGTGTATTTATTCCAACGTGTTTCTGCATTCTTGATAAAACTTACCACGACAGATTATTGGCGTTGTCTGAAAGGCGGCTCCAAGGACCGGAGCTACCCGCTACGGCCGGCGTTTCGGATGAACGCTGGACAAGAGGAACAAGGTTTTTTTTTTTTTTTTTAAAAAGTTTTTTCCTTTTTTTGCTTTTTTTTGAGGAAGTCTGTCGGGTTTGTGGCTCAAGATTAAA